ACTCCTGCTCCTGAACCAGTTCTTGGTGCGCCCACTGAAGAAGAATCTGCTCCAAAGAAAAGAGGTTCAAAATCTGCTAAGGTATGTGGTAAGGTTGTTCTGATTTGTGGTAGGAACATTACCGGGAAGCTTCCTGCCATTTATGTTGTTGGAAATATTTGTTTAGTATTTAAATTTTAAAACTGTGACCTTATTTATCATTTACTATATAAAAGCTGGCTATATGAGATTTGAGTTCTATTTATGTGTTTGTTATGATAATTTAGCATCAGTTTACGACCTTCTGGGATTCTGTAGATTATTGAGGTGGCAACCTTAGAAGAACGTGTTCTTGAAGCAGCTACTCCAGTTGAAGCAATAAGATTTCCACTAATATTAGAACAAGAGTCCAATTCATCTTTTGATAATGATGGTAGTAGTCCCTCTGGAAACATCTCTGGGGTTAAGGTATGAAGATTGCTACAGTAACATTGCCTCATATAACATATTGCATGGAATGTTACTTGTCAATGTTTTACCTTTGAATGATATATTACAGCGTAAACATGGTGATGCGGATTCAAATGTGAAATTATCAGATTCAAACAATCAATTAGTTTGGCGTCCCAGTTTCGAGGGATTCATCCACCGCCTTAGACATAAGGTGAGATATCTGTGTTCTTCAATGCGGCTGTTGCATACATAGTTAAAATTGATCATATTTATCGGTGATGGAGGGAGATTTCTGTGGTTTGGGTGGGTATTTAATTTGACATTATGAATATTCTTTTTGTTTAATAAGAAATTCTCTGGTCTATTTTTTTCACTCATTATGTCATCACACTACTTCATATTCTTGTTCCATACTGTTTTTAAGATATTTATTCCCCATTTTAAGGCATGTGTCGAGATTGTGAAAGATCGCAAGGATGACAAAGCTGCCATTGTCTTGGGTGCAATGTTGGAAATAACAAGATATCAGGAGAAGAAGGTGAAAGTAGAAAAGTCAGGTATTTTTGGGGACAATCCCTCATCCAGTAACTTTAGTGAAACATTCCATGAAGGCATGAACAGATTAAAAATAAGTTAAAGTGATCATATTGATATAAGCAGATTATACTGATATTCTGTTATGTTCCGACGTCTTGAGGGGTCAGCACATTCTGTTTTGAGGATTTTAATTTTTATCCGCCACTTTCTGGTGAAACTTTTATCAGTAATTTCATTCTGAACTAAAACTTTCTCACCAAATTATATGACTAAGAAATGATTCCTTGCAGCTCCTGTGTCAATCGATTCCATTTTTGAAGAGGTTATAAAGAGTGAAGCTGGTCGAAATATGACAATGGAGCATGTTGGAGATTGCCTTGACCAGTTGTGTTCTAATTCAACGTATCTACCAGCATTTGTGGTAGAATCCGGTGACTCCTATGTAGTTGGTACTGCTTCCTCATCCTTCGGTTAAAATCCCATTAAGTGGAACTTTGTTTTTTTTACTTAAAATATTCCCCATTTCCTGTGCAGACTTTAAGAGCATAATTGGAGTAGCACAGAAAGATGAGGTCTCTTCTATTTCATTGCCTTCATCACAAATATTTTGAACACTCGTATGAAGTGTTCTTGTAGGATTGAATTGAGATGAGATGTTTGATGATCTGTCACATGGTTCAGATAGAATCAGTTGTTTTGAGAAGATATGGGAAGGACGCTTGCAGAATGTTCAGGTATTTGTCACAAGAAGGTCGTCTAGTTGAGACCGACAAGGTAATACCATTTTTCTAATCCATTATCTTAAGCCAAACTGGCAGTCATTCCGCTGGATCACGATGTTGAATCAACTTAGAGATTGTGTTTGAACGGTCTGAAAATTTTGAGAACTGACTCCACTTGGCAAGTGCTTGCTGTTGGATCATTTCGTTAGAAGTTTGAACTTCGACTAAGGTTCCCTGGTGGATAAAATGTAATCACGTTGAACCTAGTAAAAAGTTAATATGTAGACTGATCCAGTCGAAAAACCAACCAAATCTGTGTTTTGATGTTATAAACAGTTTGATACGCATTCAAGCAGCAGGGAAATCATGTGGGCAGTGGTTATGGGGTTAATTTTGAAGAATAGTAATTGTGATTCCAATTTTTCCTTTTTTTACTGTAGATTGCAGATGCTGCTTTGTGAAGAATAGTAATTGTGATTCCAATTTTTCCTTTTTTACTGTAGATTGCAGATGCTGCTTTGTCCGGAAAGAAAGATACACCAAAAATTCTCTTGAAGATGTGGAAGGACGAATACTTGCATATGGAGGTATATATTTCCGTTTTTGTCTTTGTCTGTGCTGCTCTGCATTGCTTGTTGGTTAGAATTGGATGCCCGAAATGCGTTGCCTTGATCTGCATAGGAACTTGGCATATTGGCTTCTGAAGTTTTTATCTGTTTCCAACTTTCTATATAGCTGGATACTTGTTACTGAAATTGAAAGACAGAGATCAGATTGAAAGGGTATTGATGTTAACTAATTTAAAAAAAAGCACATACCCGGTTATGAAAATTGAAATGGCTTCTGCCATTTTTTATGGGACAGCAGCTTATGTCGTGGTCTTCACAATCAATATGCAAAGATAGGTAAACTGGAAGTGACATCAGTTGCATCCATAAAGCAAAAAAACCTAATCTTTCAACTTATTATAAGTAGCAGGAGTTTTTTTTTTTCCTTCTTCTTCTTCTCGCAGAAATTAGTCGTTGCGGGAAGATATATCCCGTTCTTGTTATGGAAGGTGAACCAACCGATTCTATGGAGGAGACTATTAGATGAGATGTTTCATGCTTCTTTAAATCTGAGTCTCCGTCTGAACCATGAGCTTGATCAGGAGAAGGAGGTTAGTCCATCACTTTAAATACTCCAACTCCTTTTTAATCAAAGTCCTTAATCGGTATATATCCACTCATGCCCCTGAACTGATTTGTGTTAGTGTTTAGAAAGTGATGTATCTTTGGGTGACTATGATATATATATGCATGTGTATATATGTGTGTATGTATCGATGGGGGGGAGGAGGGGTTACAGTATTTTGGGTTTTTTGGGTTGCAGCTGCTGTCTCTGCCATTGGGAAAGCTGGAAGGGAAACTGAAGGAGAGACTGAACAGAATCAAAGAGAAGAGGCTGCTTCTGTCTTGTTCTCGTTTCAAACTCGATGATTCTGTTATGTTTTTCCATGACTTCTAATAATCTCTCCCTCCTGACTTTGACACAAAATATCTAACATGTTTTTGATAGATCTGTGGACCCAAAATTTTAAAATAAAAAATGCATCAATTTGAAAAAAGACATTCAATATATACGCATATATATATATATTCGCGAGAGTATCTGGCATCTATTTATTTGCCAGCTTGGATAGGGATGGGTTGGTGATTGGTGTGGCATAGGAAGTAACGATTAATACAGCTGCTGAAATAGAAGGGATAGGGTTTCATTTAATGCAATTAATGTAAACAACCTCGCTCTCCTCTCTCCATCGACAGCTTCTCAACTAACGCCTTTGCAGCTTCCCATAATATTATATATATATATATATATAGAAGATGTTGATATATATCCCTTGTTTAGTTTTATTTGACGTTTTAACTTTCAATATGCATATTAAAATAAAATAAAAGTTTGTCTAAAATACCCTTTTTTAATTATGATGTTTTCATTTTTTCTCTCATATAATATTGTAATTAATAATATTACCTTAAGGGAATATCCTAAAATAATACCTGAACTTCTCAATTTTGGCAAAATAAAATCTGAACTTTGTTTTTTATCAAATAAAACCTGAACTTCATATTTCAGTCAAAAATAAACCTGAACTTTATAATCTTTGTCATTTTTAATCCTATTGCTGACGTGGCGTTCCGACATCTTACGTGGCAAGTAAAAAATTAAGTTCAGGTTTTATTTGATAAAAAACAAAGTTTAGATTTTATTTTGTCAAAATTGAAAAGTTCAGGTATTATTTTGGGATTTTTCCTATTATTAATGAAGAGAATAATTTTGGAAAAAGTATCAAAAAATATATAAAAAATATCAAAATTTGGAGTTCGAGCTTTCGTGTGGTTTGACTCTGTTTAATAGAAAATAATTGCATTACATTAATAATAATACACTTATATGTATTAAAATTTATTGTTTCATAAGTTTTATTTTATTGCCCAAACTTTTTCATTTTGTTGTCCGGCCAATCAAACCAAAACGATATTTATAGGCAAATTAATTTTTGTTTTCTGTTTGTATGACGTCATGTCAGTTTTATTGCTATATCGTATCGCCGTACCTTTATTGGTGGTAACGACGCGTCTTCTTCATCGTGATATATATATGTCAGCCATAGAACCACCAAAAAAAAAAATTAAACACTAAATTACGTCAAAAATTGAGATATTTGATCATATAATAAACACTAATGCTGATATAAAAATGTTATTTTTTAAAAAATCAAACATGCATACGCCTATTGCCTAGAAATTAATCTCTATCACTTACAGCCGTACCAATTCATTTAGAAATCATAAAAATAAAATGGTCCATATACAAATATACAAAGATTGATCCCAAGTTTATGTGTAGTCGGATCGACCAAGTTTATGTGTAGTCGGATCGAAGGCTTGGAATCATTCTGGTTAAAAAAATGATAAAAATAAAAAGTAAATTTAATGACGGACTTGGTATAATATTTTTTTTAATTATCAGCGAACACAATAATTTTCACGAATAAATAGGTGAACATTTAATGAAATACTACTAATTTATATTTTTCAAATATAAAATGGTTTCTTTATATAGAAGCACATATAACATGTGTTCAACTCACAAAACCATTATCGTAAATTTTACACAACCAAACTCAAAAAAAAAAAAAACATGGAGGACACCCGAAAGAGCCGGCGGGTCGAGATCAACGGGATACTAACGGCGGTATCCAGCAAGCCGACGGGTCCGGGACGGATCCACCCGTTGACCGATATTGACCACGCCATGGATCAACACACCGTCCACGTCATCTTCTACTACCGTCGAAGCCCGTTCTCGTCGTTTGACCTCGACTCCGTCCGGGTCTCGCTGTCGGAGCTCCTGTCGTTTTACCCGCCCGTTACGGGTCGGGTCGCCCGGAACCCGTATCCAGCAAGCCGACGGGTCCGGGACGGATCCACCCGTTGACCGATATTGACCACGCCATGGATCAACACACCGTCCACGTCATCTTCTACTACCGTCGAAGCCCGTTCTCGTCGTTTGACCTCGACTCCGTCCGGGTCTCGCTGTCGGAGCTCCTGTCGTTTTACCCGCCCGTTACGGGTCGGGTCGCCCGGAACCCGGAGACCCGGAAATGGGAGGTGAAGTGCAACGACGCGGGCGTACGGATCCTTAAGGCGAGAGTGGGTGTGGGATTGGATGAATGGCTGAGATCTGCCGATGGGAACGAGGAGAGAGATCTGACGGTGTGGGAGGCTATGCCTGAGGATCCCAGTATTTGGTCTCCATTTCGTATTCAGGTTAATTTCATTTTATTTATTAGGTTTCTTTTTCAAAAAGTTATTATTTTAATGAAAATATGTTGGGGTATAGTATAGATTTCCAAAAGCTAATGTTACAGTGTTTTTTTTAGTTAGTTAACTAATTATGACCTTTATTTTAATTCACTTTCTTTATTGATCTTCTGTTTATATTTGTTGACATTTTTATAATATTCATATTTAGTTTATTTTCAATATATATGTTACATATTATAAGGCAAAACATCCATAAAAGATGAAACCCGAATTTTTCATTGGAGCTTGCCCCCCCCAAAAAAAACTATATTTACGAAGCCTGTCATGAAAATTGAATATCTAATAAATGTATATTTAATCTCACACCTAAATATTTTGAAGTAGTAAAATAGAAAATTTGATTTGATTTTTTTTAATTTAAATGGACTTATAATATTGAAGCGTATAACTTGATATTCATAATAATATCTTTATTTTTATTTATATTTTTGTGTACAACAAATGGGCAGATAAATGAATTTGAAGGGGGAGGGGCAGCTATTGGGCTAAGTTGCTCCCACAAGCAAGCTGACCCAACTTCACTCATCTTTCTTTTCAAGTCATGGACGGAAGCCCAACGCCGTCAGCCCATCTCCCACCCTCCTTCCTTCTCACCCCTGATCAACACCAACGCCGTTAACTCCCCATCCTTGGAAACACCCACCACCGCAACCGCAACCGCCACAGCCACGTTCAGATTCTCAGCCTATGCATTCAGGCGATGCCTCGAGGAATCGGTCGCCGGCATATTCCCCGACGCCTCACCGTTCGACGTATTCGCCGCCCTTTTCTCCTCCCGCATCGCAAACGCCAAACGCGACCACAGTCGCAACCGCAGTTCCGTCACAATATGCGTAGATATCAGGAGGCTATTGCCGGACCCGGTTCCGTACGGTTTCTTCGGAAACGCGTTGCATTTCTCATCGCTGGAGCTCTCTCACACAGACGATACCAGGATCGGTCACGTGGCACGGATGATAAACCGCCACGTGGCGAATCTGGACGGAGACCAGATCTTGTCCGGTTTGAAACGGTTAGGGCCGGAGGCGGTTCAAATGTACGGTTCAGATCTGACGGTGGTGAGCATGGAGCATATGGTCGTGGAAGGAGAGCCGTCGATGTACGAGGCGGTGTTCGACGGCGGAGAGAGGCCGTCTCACGTGAGCTGCATGATCGGAAACTCCGGGAGAGAGGGAGTGATCGTGGTGACTCCATCGCCGGAAAAAGGGTTTGGGAGGACGGTGACGGTGACGTTGCCGGAAGAGGAGACGAAGAAGTTGCTTGTCGACCAAGAAATCCTCCGTTTTGAGCCGGAGATTATTCTAAGTGGTGGAGTGAATTTCTGATATACACACACATATATATATATATATATATATGTACCGAATGTCGTTGATCAGTAAAAAATATTTTGAATTTTAAATAAATATTTCATTTTTTTATGTTGAATTTGATTAATGGAATTGGAATTAACATAACACGCACAATTTTTTTTTTATTTAAAGAATATAATCCCAGATAAAAGAGCGCACGAAATTCGTCACCAAAAGCACGTGGTTAATTAGAACCATCGAGAATCTATAATACGAAATAAATATATATTAATCCATTAAATGTAAAACGTTTTCAAGAAATATCATTAGTTAAATCCACTCATAAAACCTTCAGGTATTTGATAAATATATTTGGTGAATACATAGACAATCATATATATATATATATATGATAAATATACACGAAGCGCCTTACCATCGTCTATCCAGACGTCGCCGTTTCAATAAAGACACATTGGGCCGGTGTTGTAAGGCCCAATATGCATTTCTATCAATAAATTGGGCCCATACCAAATTGTAATCTCAAAACCAACGGGGTCGAATTGCAATAAAGCTCTTCTTGCGGCCGAATTGCAATATTTACCCAGTGAAAATATTATTCGATGTGGACTATCATTTTATTATTTCTTTCTAAGGTTATTTTTAAGAAGTTTTTTTTTGTTAAAAAAAAACAAAAAAGTGATATATATATATATATATATATATGTGTGTGTGTGTGTGCAATAAGAAAAATATATACAATTCTATATATACTTGGAACGTTTCTAAATAGTGTAGAGCCTATTCTACCTTTTTAACATATTTTTTCTTGTTGATATTTTCCCCTTAGAAATCTATTTATGTTTTGTATTTTACTAAAACTTCCGTCATAAATTTATAATAAATTCTAATTCTATTGTATGAGTTAATATGATTTTTTTTTTTTTTGCAAATGTTAATAATTGAATGTAGTGTTGCAAGAGAACAAAAAAATCTACATTAATTTTAAAAATATAATAATAAAATAATACCGGGTAGGTATTTAATTAAAATCGGTAAAAACGTTAAACCAATTTTAGTTCAGATTAAACGGTAGATCAAATGTTCGTATCTTTCTAACGAACTTCACAGTTTTATTTTTATTTCCTTTATTAAAAGAAATGAAATAGAAAATTAGAATTTTATACTTTTCATATTCATTGGAATATCCTCTCTCTCTCTCTCTCTCTCTCTCGATCTCTCGATCGACAAAGATAAATATGGAACGATTGCACTGGGAAATTAAACGAGTGGTATTGCTCTGTCTCTCTATAAATACACAATCATCTCCTCACTCCTGCAAGATCGTGCCTTTCATCGCTTCTCTTTCCTCTCCTCTGCATTATCTTCTTCATCGTCGCCGATCTCTTCGAAAAGCTTCAGGCTTTTCAGGTAAAGATCTGGTCTGGGTTTCACGTAGATTTCTCTGGTTTCACTAATTCTCGTCTCCGTTTGGTTTTTCTCCTCCTCCATGTAATATAGGGGATGGAATTCTTTGTCTAGGTTTTTTCAACATTTTGGACTTCTCGAGAAATTCGTTTTATCTGCGCATGCGATTTTTTCGTGGGTTTCTCACGCATGATGTTTTTACTTTGATGTTGCATGAGATTCTATTGTTCTGTGATTCGTTTTTGCTGATTCCAGCAAGGTATATTCTCAGGTTTCTATGTATTTGTATTTTGATTTATCCCTCTTTAGCTGGAATTGGCTTAAGCTTTGAACATCTGGGCATTCATCTGTTCATCCAGATTGTGATTCATGTTTCCCCTTAAGAATTAAGCAATATCTTCTTCGAATTCCATGATTATAGGAATAAGATGTAGCTTTTGTTGTTTCATGTAAAGTTTGGTAATTTCCTCTGCCTTGTTCTTCACTGCAGCATGGGAAGCAGCAATGGAACTGATTACGGTGCCTACACTTACAAGGAGCTCGAAAGAGAGCCCTACTGGCCGTCTGAGAAGCTAAGGATTTCAATCACCGGCGCTGGAGGTTTCATCGCTTCTCACATTGCCCGCCGTCTGAAGAGCGAGGGGCATTACGTTATTGCTTCTGATTGGAAGAAGAACGAGCACATGACCGAGGACATGTTCTGCCATGAATTCCACCTTGTTGATCTCAGGGTGATGGACAATTGCCTCAAGGTCACCAATGGAGTTGACCATGTCTTCAACTTGGCTGCGGATATGGGTGGTATGGGTTTCATCCAGTCCAACCACTCTGTTATCATGTATAACAACACAATGATCAGCTTCAACATGATCGAGGCCGCTAGGATAAATGGAGTTAAGAGGTCTGATTGTTGTTCCAGAGCATGTATCTTGAATTTAGAACATCTGGGTTTTGCTTAAACATGTTAAAGATTGAAATTCGCTTTTTTTTTTCCTCTTCAGGTTTTTCTATGCTTCAAGCGCGTGTATCTACCCGGAATTCAAGCAGCTGGACACTAATGTGAGCCTGAAGGAATCAGATGCTTGGCCTGCAGAGGTTTGTGACCTCTACCGATTTACATTTGGTGAAAATACGTGTTTTCCTCGTGTGATGGATGATTTATTTTGTGGATATAGCCTCAAGACGCTTATGGGTTGGAGAAACTTGCAACCGAGGAGTTGTGCAAGCACTACAACAAAGATTTCGGAATTGAGTGCCGCATTGGAAGGTTCCATAACATTTATGGTCCTTTTGGAACATGGAAAGGTAAAAAACCCGTCTTCTTTGCTTTGAACCACTATTTCTTAAACCAATCGGTTTCATTGTTGAATTTTTTGTTGCCATTTGGTGAAATCCAGGAGGAAGAGAGAAGGCTCCAGCTGCTTTCTGCAGAAAGGCTCTCACTTCGACTGATAGGTTTGAGATGTGGGGAGATGGGCTTCAGACCCGTTCTTTTACCTTCATCGACGAGTGTGTGGAAGGCGTACTCAGGTGTGCATTACTTTGGAGAACCTTAAACCCGAAAATCGGGTGACCATATAGTAGGTGGAAGTAAGTTCATATGATATATATATATATGTCTGAATGAACCATTGATAACTCTCTCATTTAGGCTGACGAAATCAGATTTCCGGGAGCCTGTAAACATTGGGAGTGATGAAATGGTTAGCATGAACGAGATGGCCGAGATGGTTCTGAGCTTTGACGGCAAAAAACTACCTATTCACCACATCCCTGGTCCTGAAGGTGTCCGAGGCCGTAACTCAGACAATACCCTTATCAAGGAGAAGCTTGGCTGGGCTCCCACAATGAGATTGAAGGTACAAAACTTCACATATTCCTTTCTACTGTGGCAGCCTTCGTATATTGTTCTCTTGGTGTGTATGCATGCAGATACTGTGAAAAGGATGATACTTTATCACTTGTGACTGATAGGAATATACAAAAAAACCTGTTAAAAATCTTGAACTGTTTCATCATGGGTTTGATCCGTTGATTGAACAGGAAGGGCTTAGAATCACATACTTCTGGATCAAGGAACAGATCGAGAAAGAGAAGTCTCAGGGTGCTGATGTGTCGGCTTACGGGTCTTCCAAGGTGGTGGGAACTCAAGCTCCAGTTCAGTTGGGCTCACTCCGAGCCGCCGATGGAAAAGAGTGAAAGCTTCCAGCTTTTCTCTTAATCCTACAACCTTCACGAGAAGACAGGTTCGCAGTTTCTGTAAGGCAGATACCTAAGATTTCAGCTACAGTATTAGGGTATTTTGGACATCTCCGATGGAAGGATGATACAGATATTAGGGTATAACTTCCATTGGAAAGCATAACATGTTTGTCAAATGCTGCCATGTTTGCTTGTTCTACAATGATGGATGGATGTGTTTTAAGATGTATTATGTTTCGGTTTGGTCTTGAGTTCCGAGGTTGAAGACAGACAGGACAGAAGATCATAGTTATTGTCAAGTGGCTTTGAGTTCCATAGTGTTGGGAGGGTTTCCTCTTTGTGTTGTTGATCATAAACTGTTTCATCATCCCCTTGTTCTTTTTTGTGTGTGTGTGTGTGTTCCAAAGCTTTTGGAACACGTCATCAACCAAATCTTTGCAATGATTGGTTGGTGGCTTTGAATGAATGGCTCCCATGGAAACTGAGGAAGACGACAAGATTTAGTTGAGGCATGCGAATATTATAAATGGTCACATGATAAATGTGGCATGGAATGTGTTTTTTGGGCATAATGAGAATATATATATAAAAAAGGAAAAAGGAAACATATATAAAATTTAAACTTTTGCCAATTGGATAAAGAAGAGAAAACAAACTCTTGAGAAATCGTAGGAAAAGTTGAAGTGGAAGGAATTCAAATGGAAAGGGTTTTCTCCGTCGAAGAAATCTCCGGCGAGACTTGGCCGCCGGCGCCTGCCATGGAGACGGCGGATGCGGTCTTAGGAGATTCCGATGGAACGGAGAGGATGAACCGTAGCGCCTCTGAATGGGCATTTCAGCGGTTCATCCTAGAATCCTCCTTTTCCTCCTCTGCTGCCGATGCTGGTGCCGGAGAAATTACGGAGAATTTCGGTACCTCCGCCGTAGGATATTCTTATCAGAGTGTTCCGGTTGATTCGGAGGAGTATCGGGCTTACCTGAAGAGCAAACTCAATTTAGCTTGCGCTGCTGTAGCCATGAAAAGGGTAAGCTTCCTCACTCTCTCCCGGCCGGATCGTATAAGTTTCAGGAAGAAATATATCGTTTTTGTTCCTTGTTTGTTTCTCTTTTCTTTCTAGTTGATGTTTGGTCTCCGAGAAAGTTGGGATGCATAGAAGATCTTATGTTTTGGTTATGGTTTCTCGAAAACTTGTTTCTAGGAAAAAGAAACGTCAAAGATCATGTGGAGAGCCAGATGTTTCATAGCCAGTCGAGTGAAAGTTTATTAACTTACGGTTTTAATATCAATAGGCATCTTTCACGAAACCTCAGGAAACCCCTGGAGGAGCCGACAGTGGAGCACAGGCTTCCAGTGCATCACAACAATCATATCCTGATCCTTCCAAAGGTTTCCACTGATGCTTTATGAGATTCAGTGATTGGGTTTGAATGGATTTCAGAAAAAAAAAACACGTGTTGCGGTCTATTCATATCCTTTCTTCATGAGCTGTCAAATCAGTTGGCATTCTTTCTTGTGCAGCTACACCAAAGAAACCTAGTGCTCCTGTCAAGTCTATAACAAGTGGATCTGAGCTCTCTGGTGACGAAGAAGCTGATGGTGAAACAGAAACACCTGGCAATATAGGCTCCCGCGATGCTAAACGTGTGAGAAGGTAATTGCATTTCCTCTTGTTCTTTTGCTTTGAGGAATTGGTATCCCAACCATCCAAAGTTGTCCAAGGAAAAAAATCAGCTTCATGGTGAAGAATCATATATTCGGTGCCGAGTTAGCTTCTTGAAGACCTAATCAGCTGAAATACGTGTCTCCTCCGAAGAACTGGATAATGTTGTCCTGATTGACTGGTTCATCGGCTGTATGTGGTGAATAGAGTTGTCCTGATTTACTGGTTCTGGGAGAAGTCATAAAAAATCTTGTGCACTTAGGCTGGAAAAAAAACAAAACTTTGGACATTTTGTCATCCTAATGTTAGCTGAACGAATTAGATGAATCCACAAGTCTTGTATGTGATTTGTTCTTGAATGTAGTCTGTACTTGTCTGTTTTCCGTTCCACAGGATGCTGTCGAACAGGGAGTCTGCTAGAAGATCCAGGAGAAGAAAGCAGGCACACTTGACGGAGCTAGAGACACAAGTATGTACATCTCACGATTTTCTTTCTTCTGAATTTCTTCCCCCTCTCTTTCAGACATGGATATGCGATCTCATTTCATGTTTCTGATCAGGTATCTCAGCTGCGTGCAGAGAATGCTACTCTCTTGAAAAGTTTCACTGATATAACCCAGTCTTCTAATAACGCTGCTGTGGAGAACAGAATTTTGAAAGCTAATGTTGAAACTTTACGAGCTAAGGTAATACCCACTGAACGGTTCCCACGTACTGGAGTAACTGATTCTCAATCAGATTGCAATCATAGCCCCACACAAGTTAGGGTTAGATATTGGTGGGACCATTGTTGTTATGCATGGCCCCAATGATGGCGGCCATATATGAACAGGTATAGTAAGATCCCTAAGGACCAGTTGAATCAGACCTTCCCTGTTTCTTGAGGGAGGTTAAGGCATCCATTCCTAGGAATCTCAAGACTGTTTGCCTGTTAAACTGTGACGATCTGTAGCCGTCTCTGTGTATATTATCTGATTTTCGCTCTGTAACATTCCAAATATAAAAAGGTCTTTGGTGATGAAATTGTCAAAACAACCTCCCCACCTTCTTATATTGCATATATTTTGCATCATTCACCATAGTCGTCAGTCCTGGATCGAATGCTTACGAGCTTGCCCGACTGGCCAGTAATTCTTGTAACCCGATTGACGCTGTTAAACATTTCTCCCAGGTGAAAATGGCCGAGGAGACAGTGAAGAGAATCACAGGCTTAAACTCTATGTTACACGCCATGCCGGATGTTTCCATGGTATCTGTTCCGTCTTTCAATGGCATTCCCTCCGAGACATCCACGGAAGCAGTGCAAGATGACCCCAAGAGCCACATTTTCCAGGCTTCCCCCAACAATTCTCTGGCCACAAGTAACACCAACACAGAGAATGCGGCCGAGATTGCTTCGGCCACAAGCAAGGCCTTGACCGGGTGCAAGATGGGGAGAACAGCTTCACTCCATAGAGTTTCCAGTTTGGAGCATCTGCAGAAACGTATTCGCAGCACCATAACGTCCCCGTTTCAAGAAGGCTTGAAACCCTAGGCAGGGGAGAGATTCAGACTCTGTCTGGAGGTTAAACTTGACAATTTTTAACGTGTTCGTGCTAAAGTTCTTCATTCTTTATTTATGTTAGGCAATGCTACTATGACATAATTCCTCTAGCTTCTTGTCTTTCTTCTCCTCCCAGCATTGTATACATCACAAATTCCACCTGAGGCAATTTCTTCTTCTGGGTATGCTTTTCAGTTTGTGAAAATATCTAAATTTTCAGTTTATGCAAATACCATATGCTCTATGCTAACATAGATATACTTTTTGTGGCATTTCTTGGGAAAACATCGACATAGGAACCATTTACAAGAATCAAGTTACAGAAACAGGTCCTTCTCTGCACCCTTGTCTGTGTGATATGCATAATCCAGGGTTCAGAAACAGAACGGGTAAAACAAGGAACAGAGAGTTCCGCGAGTGACCCGAAAAAAAAAGCTTCGACACAGAATGGAGGAAAACCAAAGAACGTTTTATTCTACTGGAGAAACTGGACCCAAGATCCTGAAATCTGTAAATTACAGACTGACAATCAAAACTGAGACAAGGTGACCAAGAAGCCAGTTTCATTTGCTGGGCGTTCTTCAGAGGCAGAGAGACATAAACAAAACCAGTTTTCCTCTTCAGTGACATGTATATGTACATAGGGAGAAAAAGCATAAGACGAACTTCCTAACCAGAATGATTGGAGAAACAAGTTCCTGACTTGGAAGGCTGAAGAGAAGAACAAGCTCTATAGTTGTTGCAAGTACTACTGTTTCTGATTCAGTTTTGTCCCTGTTGTACGGAACCATGAGAATATGGGGGAGGAGCTAGCTAGGATTTCCAGAGGTGGGGTTTCCCTCTCTCAGTCCTTGGAGGCACAAATGCAACGTTCTCTGGACACTGTCTGCAACTATTCTTAGTTTCCCCTGTGTCATGTCTCCTGCAGAAGAAGAACCATTAACTTCCACCGTACGTGCCACTCTCTGTTTAAATTTCTCCCAGTCCTCAATGCGCTGCCAACATGCCCGACCTCCATGGCTTCCTTCCATCCCAAGAAACGTCACGCTCGGGTTTTCACCGAATAAATACCTTAACCTGACCAAGACACAGTAGGGCAACCATGCGGCTCCTCCAGCAGCGTTTATATGGGGTATATGAGCCGGATCAAGGACAACAGTCAATGCAAAGTCAACTGAATTATGGGGCCGATCATAATGTATATTGCTCTTTGCTCCACAACCGTTGTTGTCTACCTCACTACCATAATAATGATTCTCAAGACATAACTCAATGCGTGGCCTCTGACCAGGAGCTACCTCTCCAGCTTGTGATTGGGATGACAATCCCTTCTTCCATGCTATCAGTTTCAGAAACTCCCTCAAGACCGGTATGGGTAATGTGAGAAGGGTTATGAAAGAGGCAACCCTTGAAGCATCGTAGGGCTCTGATGCAACACGACGACTGAAGTAGTCGCATATTTCTCCTATCTCAGATTGGGTCAGTTCCTCTTGAGCAGTGGAAGCATTTTGCTGCTGTTGTTGCTGCTGCTGCTGGTGATGGAAACGCTTCACACTGAGGACTTGAAGAAGAAGCTGAACTCTATGGACACTCACCGCAAAGACGTAGCCACTACGGGAAACAAACAAAAAACAATTGAAAAATTAGCACGATAGCCTCATGACACATGCAAGTAAAATAGATGAACACGTAAATGAAACCCTAGTTTATCGGTAGCTAACCCAACAAAGAAGCGCAGTGCAGGCTGTTCTTGGTCCAAATTCAAGAGAGCACCTTCATTCTCCTTCAAAATTGAACCTAAGATCTCTCTCAAGAGGTCGGGTAACTGAGCAAATAACCATAGCACTCCAAGATATTTGAGAATACCCCTTAAAACCTTTTTAAGAGCCACAAGAGGAACCCATCCACCTCCATAACCACCATCATCACCAAGACCAATAATTGCTGTGTTTAGTTCACCTCTTACGTGTGCAGGCATCGTACTGCCAGGAGATCTTCGCACAGGCAATCCAGAGCCAACAACACTCAATGCAGAAGTAGCAACACCACCAGCACGACTCAAACCAGCTGCCGGGTTAGCTGCCCTTGACATCGCAGTAGCGGCGGGGAAATTGGCTCTACTCCCACTGGCTGTTACTAATTGTGCACCTGGATTTTGGTTTGTAGTGTTTGCATTTGCTGCTCCAGGAGTCAAATTTGGTTCTAACCCATTTAATTCTTGAGCAACATGCTCCATGATGAAAGGTCTGAACTGGGGGCATGGCAGGGAACCCCCAATAGAGGCACCACCCTTTGGTGGTGTTGCAGGTTGCAACCAGACCTGATCTCCAGCAAAGCATCTCATGTCTACTGCAAACCGCTTACGGTATATGATCCTTATCCAATAGGGACCACGAAGTACCACGGAGACATCAATGGGCAAGAGAGAGCTTGGAACGATTCCAGGTCCACTTCGCCCAACAGCTGTTAACATGGCAGCCCCATGAAGGCTATAACTTCCCCCAAGAGCAGCAGCATTTGCTGAAGTCGTCTGTCCGGTATTAGGGGAAGCTGAACTTGCAGTGGAAGTTCCCTGAGTTTGCTGCATCTGATTTAACTGTCTTGAAATTGAAGCAACCGCTGCAGGCACAACAGGAGATCCGGTGGCAGGCCCAGCCCGAGCAGGTCGAGTTGCAGCTGCTAGAGCATGTAACGGCCCAGCAGTAAGACGAATGCAATCAAGAAGAGATGCAATCTCTGCTCCATTTATGAAATCCTCCAAGAACTGCAGAAAAAGAAAACGAAAAAAGAATGGGAAAACAGGGTTAGTATATGTTTCTAGAATTGCAGCCAGAGAGACAGAAGAAGAACAGCATCAACTTCATGAACAAAAAAAGAATTATTAGTTAAGGCGTCAACATGAAGATATAGCTAAGAAGTAAGATAGCTTACTTTTGTATGGGGCCACAGTTGGTCGGGAGAAACATGCATGGTGCATCCATCTTTACCCGATTCCCACTCAACAACAAAACGAGCTAAGAGACCCGAACCAAAACTAAACCACAAACTTGTTAATCCCACTGCCTCTATCTTGAAAGCCCTCCTCATCTGCTCTGACAGTCTATCAGCTGGCTCGATAGAGCCTTTTCCTGCAGCCTGTCCTTTAACATCTGGGCTGAGGCTGCATTCTTCTGTTTTGTCATCTGGTCTTATGCCAAGTAATTTTCGCATACCAAGGGAAAACATTCTAGCATTTGAAAGCCGTCGGATGTCAGCCACAAGCCTCTTTATACTGTCAGCTTCCACAGATCGATAACTCAGAACAACACCTTCGGGATCATAACAGATATGAGAATCCACATCGGACGAGTTTGCTATGCGAACTCCAGATCCCCATGGCATGTTTTTACTTCCCTTTTGAAGTTCCCAAATATCCCTGAAGTGTTGGTCATTGATTTTCACATCCCAACGCATGCTTCCTGGCCTGCCAAGCTGCAAGCATATTTGTTGCCATGAATCACTATGGGCAAATGGTAGACGGAACCATATATTGGATGATGCATTTCCCAGATCCATTTCCTCAACATATTGAATATACAGTGCCTCCATCTGGCTAGTTAGTTTGGCGTGCTTTATGGACAATGAAGAATGCCTGACCACATGGAGAAGGGCATAGACAAAAATACTGGATGGTGCATTTCCCTTGCTTGCTTCAGCTATGAGATCTCCATAACTGCATCCAGAGAATTTTGTTGTTGCAGCAGCAGAAATGGTCTGCGGTGTAGCGGACAGACTCGGTACCAATTCAGAAGTTTTCCTTCTCTTGTTGGGACCAGTAACAGCTCCCACTCCTTGAAGAGACGGGATCAAGCCTAGCAAATCTGATGCTGAACGTTTCCGTGACTTCTGATCGTCTGATGTTTGTGCTGCAAATATTCACAAGTTAATCATGGTAAGTAAACAAGTGCAGAAACATATATAGATGTGTTCTATGAATGTCAAAAATCACATGTGCTTACATACGGGAGGCAGCGAAGACAATGAGCCTGAGACCAGTCTGCCACCCGACACAGAGACTCGGGCCCCAGTGGACATAGATGGAGACAATAGTCTAGAAGAATCATTCAACAAATTCTTCCGGTCTCTGTCCACCGTGCTACCCTCGACCAAGTCAGGAAATCTAAGGGAAGCTAAATCATGGTCAGAGTTAGAAATAACAAGCTTCTTCGTAGCAGAAGCCTTCCCAGGGAGGGATGATAAAGAATTAAAGGAAGTAGATTGCAAATTATACAAGGAACCATTATTATAGCTAGCCAACGATGGAACTACCCCAGGGATTGGACCATGCTGATCATGTAAAGTAAATGCAGATGCCCCTTTTTCAAGTCCAAACACTTCATCTACGATACTAGAGAAATTCATTGGACTTTGACTCAGTTCAGACAAACCCTCAACGCCACCCAATCCAGGATGATCATGTTCAGACGCTTGATTTAAGCCCTTGACATCTGGAAATGAAGAAAGAAATCTAGTCACATCAGGCGTAATCAAATTAAGTTCATCCTCACGAATCCGCATCTGACCAACATCAATTTTCTTCTCCCGCAAAACATTGCTCAGATCATTTAAAGACTGCGGGGGTTTGCCAGCTGTATCCATCTGAGTTTCTACCAATTTGAACATTGGTGTAAAATCATTATCAAGCTCCATAAGCAAAAGGTGAGAGCTTCCACAATCAGGGAATCCCAAGATCAAGATGCTTGAATCATCCACGAGGTTCTTAGGAGCTTTGCTTGCAGCAAAACCATGTTCATAGACCTGGAAGAGTCAAATCAAATACAGAATTCCCATGAGAACTCCAACTACAGGCTTGAAAGAGGCAAAGATTATTATTACCTCAAGGCCCAAAAACTTGCCAACAGCAGCAAAAAGATGCAAAATGCTTTTGATTCTCAACTTGGTAAAGGCCTCCACAGCAGACATATTCCCTTGATTTAAAGCATCTTCAAATTCCTCCAGGATGGAGGGTGTCAAGATACTCTTCGATGAATGAAGAAGAAATCGTCCAGTCCTGCAATTATTAACACGAGTCAGAAAAGCCCTGCACTGAAAATTCTATACAAATTCCATGGCCATAATCCTGATAGGTATATTCACCACCACTTGGAGAATTACTACAAGTGGTCATAAGAAGTTTAAAACAAACCAAAAGACAACAATCCACAGCAAGAGTAGTAATCTATGATTTGCAATTCTTGTAAACACAGAAACACATGAAATTCAAAATAGAAAGAGTATATGGGATAGGAAGACAGTGGATATAAATACGATCACTGATATACCTTATATTTACCCCAAGCGTGAAAAACAGTGAACCATAAGCGCGCACATGTAAGACTTCTGGCTCAACTTGTTCATTACCATTCACCTTGCCATCTCCCTGAAAGAAGGGCGAAAGCAAGAAATGCTGATAATCTTGCAATTTGCAACACTAATAGCACTAAATAGATGGACCAAGCTAACCGGCTCCCCTAAAAAGTCAATAGTGCATCGCGGTTTAATTGATTACAGTGGGCAATCCAGAGTGTGTTCAAACTTCTTAAGTATGCTTAATTTCTTGTCACCTAACTAGATCTAGCTCTCGGTTAGCTTGAAAGAGAGGGCATTGTCCAAAAGCATAGTCAGCAACTGATGTACAAGTGTCTGGAGGAATGCAAATCCTACTACTGAATTCTGCATAAAATATTTGACCTACACATTCTAATGAAAGGTCACAGATTCTAATGAAAAGTCCAAGTTCACTCAAATCATGGAAAGAACTAGCACACCAAAAGCCTCAAGCAATAAAAATACCAGCAATAAATTTGGACCAACCTTTTTGGCCTCAACACCAGGCTTATCCAGGAGGGGTTGAAGAATGACATCACTAGGAGCACGAGAGATTCGGACATTTTTCAGAAGCTCTTTCTGAATTTCAAGAAGACGAGTATATCTGTTACAACATATGGCTTTATGCAGAAGCTTTTCCACATCAATACAGCTCTGATCAAGAGAAAACTCAGCCTCCTTTCCAGTTAGTGGGTCAACTATAAATGTGCTATGACGACACCTAATCTGGAGGTCTGATCCTGGTTCAATCTTAATGAACGGTCCAGAGTTTTTATCAGAATCCAACCAATACATAAGTTTCACTCCCGGGGTTCGAAGACCAACAGAATCTGCCTCTCCTTCTTGATTCACTTGCATGGTACCAGTATCAGAAATTAGCTCAAAGCGAATTGCATCTTTCCATCTTCCCTGCCGAAGAGCTTGGACCTGCCTTATGACAGTGTCCATGACAAGTGTAACACAAAGTTCATGGAGCACTGAATATAATATTGTAAATGGGTTTTCTGCCACTGACATTCTACGCTCTAAGTAATCACCAAGGGCATGCCGTCTAGTCACTTCGAGTGTAATGGGGCCACTTGTTTCACCAACAAGTAAATCTAGATGCAATATCCTCCACATTGATAAGTGACCCCGGTAACCAAGGGTAACAAGAACCTTAAATTCCCCATCCACACATAGCATCGCTGTACCTTTGGAAACTTTCACCTCAGCTATTTCTTTCGGAAGTGTAATTTCTAGAAGTTTGGAACGAACAAGTGCGTCCAGCTTTTTTAGAGCTGGTTTCTGCTGATGCTCATCCAATGAGCTCTGCATGCCCACATCTTCTATACATTTTGGCAACCTCTGATAAGATCCTGTTAGTAAAATCTCGACAGCAGATGAAACATCATATACAGGTGCACGGGCTTGTTGAAGGCCTTCATGCATAAAAAACAGTGAATCTGCTGCTTGTGTGAAGCATATATCATGAGCTGATAACGTGCTCCCGAGGTCCTGGCAATATTTTATTAGGGGAACCTGCACCCAGGAGGACAAGTGATATGAATGAGAATCGGCAGCTAACTATATGTTCTGATTGCTAACTTCATTGATGGAGAAAGTACAAGTATCAATAAATCCAGGACATGTGCTTTTAGAGAATGTAACATGTTGGGTCTCAAGCAGCTACTTGTGAATTCTGGTGAAAAGATAGACATTTTTTTCCTACAATATGAAAGATAATAGAATCCCACAGTAATCCAAGTAAGCACACGAAGTTACAAGGAAACATTATACTAAATAGAACTAGAAGAACTCAAGTCGAAATCAAATGCAAACTACATGAGAACAGGATAATCACAGGAGTCATTATTAACACCGAATGCCCAAGAAATAAGCTTAATCCAGAAAAATGTATGAATGCCTAGCCTGACCAGTTCATGGAGAAATTAAATCTCACAATGCAACCAATGCTTGTATCCAAATTATAGGCAGAGTTTTCAACTTTTTTCCGCACTCCGGAAAGTGAAATCTAAACATATATAGATCGCCTTTTTATTCATTGATTCGCTCCAGAAAGCAAGAACGACGGGAAAAAGAAAAGCTTATTTGGTAAAACCGAGACTCAACAAGGACTACTGATGAAGATAGGCTCAACAAGTGCCCAAAGAACATCACACCACTTCAAGCTGTTCCATGCAATAATTCCAAAAGAAAAACCTAAGCTACAAAAAGATGGATCAACTACTGATGAAGATACAATACAAGCTTCTCACAACTAGTGTAGACCTGAAACAACAAAAACCCATCAAGCTCATTCATGAAACCTTCCCAAATTCACCACTTTTCTCCAATCTAAAAGAGACACAATCCAAAACCCAACAAACAACATGATAGCACACTCTTCATGACGTAGGAAACTAACCAAAACCTGATAAATCTTGAAATCGGACGAACAAACCCCTAATTTCACCATCTAAGTTGGTTCCATGAAAAGCCCAGAATTTTCTCATCGACGCGCAAACGTAAGCAATAGAACGAAGCTATACAGCTGAAAAGACGAACCTGTTTGCACCACTTGGCGAGCACATTGAGACGAAGCATCCGCTGCTGGGTCTTGACGATGTACTTGAGGAGGCTAATCTTCTTGTCCGTATCCGACAGCTCCGCCGACTTGGACTTCTCCACGAGTTCCTTGAGCGACGAGTACGATTCCTCTGCGGCTCGACTGACCAGAGAGGAGAACTCCACCGTCTGTTGCCCCAATTCCGCCATGGCGAACCAAGAACAGAATCAGCGCCGCGGATTCAGAATCTTGTGTGGATGAATGACGAAGGGTCGCATCAAAATTAGGGCTCTTCGCCGTCTTCGAAGAGGAAAATCGCGGGATCTCCTTTCCAGCCGAAAGGATTTGATTGAGAGACAGAGAAGAGAGAAAGAAGGGAGAGAGTTCTTCTCTACATAGGATTACAAATAAGGGCTGGGAAGGGAGGAAGAAAACGCAGCGCAGAAAGCGACTCCAAACCCAAATAAAACAGGAGAAAATAAATAATTAAATAAATATTTAGCAATGTAAAGTGGGTCCCACTGTTCCACGTAAGCTGCATGTAGATTTGGACTCAACAAACATTCCATTTTCATTTACATCATATAGAGTTCCAAATACCGATACATTAATTATTATTATTGATTAAAAGTTGATAATTAGAGAGATTGATTAAACAAACATTTTTTTTTCATGTAAAGATGCTAATTAATCATCAAATACTTTGCACCATTGTTTCCGTTGTTCTTCCCCTTAATAATCTCTCTCTTCGCAAACTCGGAAAAACGATAAAAAAAAAAATATGAACTTTTATTTAAACGGTGGACATCGATCACAAACCCTTGTAATTAATAAACAATTATCTTCATGTATTTAAAACCATTATTTTATTTTGTATATAGGGTTCGCCGATGAATCCATTATTACCACCGTTCTCGCGAATTATGTGTCAAATGGTTATTAAAGATGATGCATTTAATTAGGACAAATATCTTTGCCTTAAAACAGACAATACGATCCGTATACATGTTAACGACATATATAATACGATACTCGAAGAGGGGATGTAATGTTTTACAAATGAAATGATTTTTTTTTAGTGAAAAACCCTTAAAAATTCTCAACTTGTATTTTGGAGTAATATTAATTTCTGAACTTGTAGAGGTGTCTATTAATTCATAAACTTGCAAAATTGAACATGTTAAATCCTGAACTTGTTAAATGGTTCCATAATCGTCTATATCGTTATTTGGTAAAAAAAAAACAAGTTGACCGATCCGACGTAGCGCGTGACGTGGCGATAATTTTCTGAGTTGACTCACCACATCTCGCGCCACGTCGGATCGGTCCACTCGTTTTTTTACCAAAAAACGCTATGGATGATTATGGAACCGTTTAACAAGTTCAGGATTTAACGTGTTCAATTTTACAAGTTTAAGAATTAATAGACACCTCTACAAGTTTGAAAATTAATATTACTCCAAAACACAAGTTCATGAATTTTCAGGGTTTTTGTGAATAAAGTATGACTATCTTTTAATTTCTAAATTGATTATATATATATCAACTTTAGTTATATAACTTTAGGTCCAGATTTTATTATAATAATAACTATATTTTGTTATAGAAAAAATAATCTAATAATAGTATTTTTTCTATCAAATATTCTAAATTTAAATTGATTATTAATTATTTTAGAAAAATATATTAAAAAAGATATTTGGAAAAAATATATTTAATTTAGAAATATCTTTTTTAATATATTTTTTTATTCCTAAACTTGTAGATGTGCCTATTAATTCCCAACCTTGTAAAATAGAACACGTTAAATCCTGAATTTGTTAAACGGTTCCATAATCGTCCATAGCGTTATTTGGTCAAAAAACGAGTTGACCGATCTGACGTGGCGCGTGACGTGGCGAGCCAACTCATAAAATTATTGCCACATCACGCGCCACGTCGGATCGGTCAACTCATTTTTTTGACGAAATTACGCTATGGACGATTATGAAACCGTTTAACAAGTTCAGGATTTAACGTGTTCAATTTTGCAAGTTTGGAAATTAATAGACACCTCTACAAGTTTGGGAATTAATATTACTCCGAATTACAAGTTTGGGAATTTTTAGGGTTTTTCCCTTTTTTTTATATTACAACATAAGATATTTTTACTAGTATAATACATATATGGTGTGTGAGAGACTAAATTAATCCGGTAACAAATCTCGTTATATGCGAGAGAAATAGGTAACATATCTGATGTATGGGAAACTATATAATAAATATATCATTATATGTGAAAAAAAATACATGCAAGTTTGTAAGTATTTATATAACTTGGGGAAAATTAAGAATGTTGGTTAGTATAAGAATAACCACATGCATGAATCTACAGTCACAATTTTCAATGATATGGTTCAACTATCAATGATTCATGACCATATAATCATATATATAACCACAGTTCGAGCTTCATTGGGTATCACCATTATAACAAAAATCATATATATATGGATAAAACCCGCGATTTGATTCCTATTTAGGTTAACATAATAGATTTCGCAAATCTATTTTTACGATTATTACCATCTTTGTATTCATCTTGATCACTATAAATAACAAGAATTATGTACCACAAATCTACACACTCACACAAGTTAAAAGAAAAGAAAAACTCACGAGCTCTTCAACACACAAACACACTTTTGCTGGTCTGAATCTATATATATATCATGGTCGGTTTCAAGAACACCATTGGAGTTTTGTTCATTGGAATGTTGGTAAGCACATGCCTGTTCTCGGACAAGATCGAGGCGGTGACCATCGGGAATCCGGCAATGGGGGGAGATGACCCTCCCGGGTGCAGCCCGACACATCCCGAGATGTGCAAGCCACCAACACCGGCAAATCCTTACACTCCTGGTTGTGAGATAAGCACGAGATGCCGTCGTTTTCCGGGGGCGCCTCCACATAAGATGATATGAAATATTATGCCACCTATATGTATGACATTACCTACGTTAAGAAAAATATATATATTAAATGTATTAGTTTTAATCTATCATTTATCATGAGTTGTAATAAATAGTATAACAAAATGGATTTTTTTTGTTATACACAACTCGAAATAAAATCCTTATATTTTTCTCTTATCACGATTTAAATTTCGTATTCTTAATCCTAATAAATATTTTATTGTGTCATTTATAATAATAAAATATATATTTTTTAAAAAGATTGACAAATAAATCCTTAAATACAAATAACATAAAAAATTATCAACAAAAAAAGACGTAACAAATTCGGATATTCTACCTCAATTAAATAAAATAAATAAATAAATAATTTACAAATTAAAAAAATAAATTAATAAATATAAATAAATATTTAAATATATTTATTTATTTTGTATTTATTTATTTTATTATTTATTTTTTCTTATCTATTATAATTTTATTTATTTATTTTAGAAAAATGCATATAAATCTATGAATTTATATAAAAAATCTCAAATAAATACATGAATTTTAAAATTTTAAAAAATACACCATTTTTTTAATTTCTACATTAAAATTTGAATTTTTAAACGATTTCAAATACTACCATGATTATGGTTGTTTTTTTTTAACTATTTAAAAGTTAAATATTTAAATTACTGTCGATTTTTTAAAAATCTTTTAAAAATTCATGATTTATTTTCATTGTTTTTAAAAAGTTCAAGATTTCATATAAAAGTTAATAAGAGCTCATATGTTCATTTAGAAATTTAAAAATGCGTATATTTATTTGGATTTTTTTTACAAAGTTTTATATTAATATGATATTTCTCTTTTATTTTATTTATTTGTGTTGGAGTATAATGAGTTTATTGTTACGTCGATTTTTCAATGATAATTTTAATGTCATTTGTATTTAAGATTTTATTTATCAATTTTCTAAAAATATAAGTATTTTATTTGTTATAAAATATAAATACTAAAATACAAAATAAGAGGCTTAAATTGAGACGAAAAAAAGTATAATTTTTTAAAAAAAAAATCGATATGATATATCAATATATATATAGCATAATATTATGTTGGACATTTGAAATAGATATTTTTTTTTAAACCGAGTGTCTTAGATCGAGATCGAGACTAACCCTTAGGACGGAAATAAGTTATATGATTGGAATTACACTCATCTTTCCAATTTGAGGTTTAAACTCGGGACGAGACAAATGTCTCTATTTCATCGGTTGAACTATCCAAAATGGATAATTTGAAATAGATTAGCATTGAATGATGTTTATTGCCATCCATATGAGATGTGAAGACTTACATATGGAAGGGAATCGACTCCAAATATGCAAGGAATCATATACTATGTATCCAATCAATGATCAATTCTTGATATAGATTTACCTCAATCATCAGATCTTTCCATAAAACAGCACATCACAATCACCACTTCCTCTGATTTTTTCCCATGTCTAATCACTTGCTATTCTATAAAAAATTTGTGTTTCAAATAGTTATTAAGGATGACACTTGTTGTCTTAAATCAAAGGATCAGTTATTCATAACTAATGTAGAATAACTGATCCTTTGGTTTCTACCCGGTCCCGGCCAATCCTTACAGATGAGGATGCGAGATTTCTACCCGTTGTGAACGAGTCGAAGCTCCGTCGCCGTAAGTATATGGTCGAAGAGATTATATATAGAAAAAGGAAGAAAATTATTTATGTGATGAATTAATAATGAATAAAAAGCTTTCTCTTATATTTGAATTACCGTATGTGTATCGTTTTTCTGGGTTTATATATATATATATATATATATATATATATATTCCTCATTTTGTTATAAGGAACAAAATGAGATATACACCAAATTCCATATGAGGTATAATCATGTTTAGGCTAATGAAATCTAGCTCTTATAGTATTTACGATTGATTATCCGAAATAAACACTTGCATTATATTTCATCATCTTGGTCATATATATATATATATATATATATATATATATATATATCCTTCTCATTCGAATCATTTGTGTATGCGATTTCTTTTGCTCTATGTTTATTTAGTCCACCATAAAATTTGAATATCCTCGTAATTAAACCAAAAGAAGAAAAGAACCGTATAATGATTTCTTTTTAACAATTTAGGGAATCACATGTTCAACCCAAGTTTAGAATCCTTAATTATCGAGGCTTCTCCTTTGCTAAAAATCTGTCACTCAGAACGAATATTTACCACATAAATGTAACGAATGAAATATTACAAATAAACAAAACTTTAGTACATGATGCCCCTCCCAAAAAAAAACAAATTTATTCAAATTAATCTAACCAATTACAATGATTAAAATTTAAATTTAGTAAATATATCATCGGACATAAGGATATGCATGGTAACGAAATCTGGTTACCCGTTCAAGCTGAAAACGGTAAT